TTATATTTTAGTAGATTCAAGCCTATGAAAAGGATTCCTCACAATACTGAGTATAAATGAAATACATTAGCCCAAGAATCCAATCTAAGTGAAGCACAACTTTAATTAAAAGTAGGACCCGAAAATCACAAACTTTATTATAATATAAGTTGGATTTAAGGTTACCTTGAGGTTGGGCCGTAGAGAAGACCTCTTGAATGGAACGCAGAAAAGTCTAGTACAAATATGAAAAATTGCTATCAATTGTATCCAAAAGAGAAATTAAAGTTCCAATGTAAATTCATTCCATAAAATTATATATTTTCATGAAAAAATAGCCCGCGTAAAAAAGAAATCATGATGGTTTTTGTGCAAAAAACGACGAGCTAGATAGAGCTAAATCTACTATAAGTTTCTAAGTTTACAAGACAATAAATCCCAGTTCAAATAACTAACTAACTAGTGAAATTCTACGGAAACGTCATGTCTATAATTGTAAGAAAATTAGACTACCAGTTCCCTTACTACCTTAAACGAAATAGGATGAATGCACTTGTAATTCTTGTTTTCTGAGTTGACAGGATGAATGCGAAAGATATCCCCATAGTGTAAAATTAAGAAGAATAATTGCGGACCGGAAGGCCTTGGCCATTTATAGTCGGGAACCAGATGAACAAGGGAGTCAGGGAGATAAGCAGAAAAAGAATAAAAAGGTGTTAGGAACGAACTATTTAAAAGGGAAAAAAGAAAACGAGTATTGAAAGAGATTAAGTAACCTGGAATGCTGGAAGTGGAGAGACTCCACTGAGCAGAGTTGAAGACATTGATTGGTTGAAGTCAGGAAGCACTGGTAGCCTGTTATTTAATCCCTGAATCTCAGCTCTCCCCTTTGCTTCGTCCCAGGCTATAGGGCATGCTCCAGCAGAGGCTTCAGTTGTTCTGGAGGTCTGCGAAAGACTGACAGCAGAATAGGCGGGTAACAGGCCGCGCAGCTGTTCTGAGGCGTCAAGGAGTTGGACGCTTTCAGCTTCAATAAAGTTATAGGGATATAACTTAAGATGAGACTAGTTAGTAGTTCATCTCAGGCGTTGCCATAGGCATTTTGTAAGTAATTTATAAAATTCACTTTCATAAAAGGATAATAGAAATTATTTATCTATACGTGGAACTTGTAAATTAACTACGTATATAGGGCTGAGGATAGCTAGGGCTAATCAATAAGTTTAACTATAGTGACCATTTCGTTCATTGATTATTAACTAATTATCTTAATATTCTTCGTAGAGAAGAAAATAGCTTATTTACTAAAATACAAAGTCGCTCTTTAAATGCTATGAAGCATAGGTAAAGCATTTCCCTAACTTAATCACAATCTCGTATAAAATTTCCTAAAGAAGAGATTCTTATCTAAGATATGAAGACCAAGATGGTCTGGCCTTTTGTGTCGTTGCAGTCTCATTTCGTTGTATAGAAGTTGTTTGGCCTTGTTTTCGCAATATGGTCATATTGGTAGGAAGACTTAGAGGAACGCACCTAGTCCGGAGTCCATTGTCTGCATCATTATTTCCAAGGTTGAACCGTGAACGTTATACATTCCCAAACGTTTCGCCGGCATCGTCAGTGAGTATCACCATTCTTAGCACCATACGAAAACTCGTCAGAGACAAGTAAAGCCAATATGACTATGTGAAAAGAGTGAGAACGCCAGCGTGGAGTGTGAAGAGTTTTAATAAATACCGCTTAAATAAGCTCACCACACTACACTGAAATAGGCGCGGAAAAAATTGTAACAGTAAAGGCGTGATAGGAGGATATAGTTAATGTGAATAGCCCAGAGCAGAAAGGGAGATACAACTGTTTAGCACACGTTTGGTCAAAAAATAGGCTTACTTGTCTCTTTGACGAGTTGTTATATGGTCTAAAAATTGCGATACTCAATGACGATGCCGGCGAAACGTTTGGGAATGTACCACGTCCACAGTTCAACTTTGGAAATGATCATACAGACAATGGATTCCGGACTAGGTGCGTTCCTCTAAATCTTCCTACCAATATGACCATGTTGCGAAAACAAGGTCAAACAACCTCTAAGAGATTCTTATGTTGATACCACCAGAACACGACGGTTGATTAAATTTTTACTGCAGTCGTTTGGCCTTAATACAAAGTTCAAGTTCGCTCAGTTCACGAGACATCCCGAAACGATGGAGGATATCTCGGGGAGTGCATCAACCAGAACGTCATATTAGAGCCAAACGGTAACAATACAAGACCCAGATCAACCTACGAATCTCTTCTTCATTCGCTTTTAGAAATGGTATCTGAGGCCATTAATCAAATCCAGTAACTCTTCGTATTTAATCTTAATCACCAATCCTTATAGTAGTATATCCACATGGTTGCAAATAAATAAAGTTTTATTATGCTTTGAAAAGCAGTTGCCATGGAATTAAAAGTAGTGCTAAGACTAGGTGCTAAATAGAGTGCCGTGTTTGCCTTTAAAGCAGCAATGGTACTGGAAATTCTAATGAAAAAAGGAGACTGAAACTGAAGTTTTCTAAGGATGATAATGATAATTTATTTAATGTAATTAATTTAGAGTGGTTCACTTATCAATGTCAAGTTAGGTAATTATGACCTCAGTCGTAATTAAGGAACGATAATATGTTCGTTTAAAAGCATATAGGGCGAGTGCATGACTTTCATTTATTAATTCCTACCTTAAGTTGCTAGATAATGCCAACTTCTAAGGCAAATCCGTTACGAAAGCTAAATACATTATATTACCTGCCTTTAATACGAATTCGTATGACACCTAATTTGTATATAAGTAATCAAAACATAAAAAAAATGAGTTATGTACAAGGAGAGAACTTCTGGGAGTTTAAAAGAGATTAAGATAACCGATGGGCTA